GTCAGCTGTCTTAATCACAAACACATACCAGCTTCATCACTGTGTCTGTCACGCGACTCTGTTCCCCTTTCGGGCTCTGTCTTTACATTTATTTTGAAAGATGAAGCTCGCGATTATGGTAAGGGGCGTTACATTTCCGATGAGTGCTTCCGGTGTTCGGCCAATCACAATGCACTGGGTCAGCTGGCCAATCAGAGCAGACTGCACTTGTCGGAAGGAGGGACTTTGTAGAAAACGAAGCGTTTGAGAGAGGCAGGGCATAGAGGACCTACAATAATGTACAGTATTTGAAAAATAATGTGTTTTTTGAACATTAAAGCATGTCAACATATTCTGTTACACTAAATACACAAAATAATGATCTTTAAAAAAGCATCATATGACCCCATTAAACTTGCTTAGTTTTTAATATAAAAATAACAAAAAGCATACGTACGTAAGTACAATATAGTTTACACTGACTTATGTTATTATTATGTTTTGTATTGTATTTTGTATTGTGTTTTCATTACAATCGTGCATTATTGGAAATTTTCCCCCTTTAGAAGGTTAAAATGATCACTGGGATTAACAGTAGCCCCTCAATGCAGAACACAAGATCCAGGGGGCGTGGTTGAATCCACATCTAGGGGGTGGAGATGGGTGGGTTTAGGAATCAGGGGGATCCAACCACGCCCCCTGGATCTTGTGTTCTGCAGTGAGGACCATCTCAACTCGTTCAGTGCTCCAGGTTTATTTTTGGGTAAACTATCCCTTTAATGTAAGGTGGGAGGAGTTGGATCTGGATCCAACCACGCCCCTGGATCTTATGTTCTGCAGTGAGGACCATCTAAATGTAAAACAAATGGAAAGGAATGGAAATGGAAAAAAAAACATTTTACATTGCTAAGGACTTCATTTGGACAACTTTAAAGGCGATTTTATCAATATTTAGATTTTTTTGCACCCTCAGATTCCAGATTCTCTTATAGCTGTATCTTGGCCAAATATTGTCCTATCCTAACAAACCATACATCAATGGAAAGCTTATTTATTCAGCTTTCAGATGATGCATACATCTCAATTTTGACAAATTGACCCTTAAGACTGGTTTTGTGGTCCAGGGTCAGATTTGATGACAATAAGTGATGTCTAAGACTGATTCTTAAGTGTTGACTGAGGTGAAACTTAAGTCTTGCAAACAAAGGACTACAATGAAAAAAAAAAAAAAAAACGAAAAAAGAGCCATTTTCTCATTTTTCTACTTTCAATATTAAATAAAAAAACGAATGATCGAATGATACACGGATTCATCAGTATCTTAATCTATTATATTAATGTAATGTACTAAACGTCTGATTATTTGTTTATAAGGTGTTAATTCAGCTTCTGTCCCCTACTGGCCAGTGAACAACTTGGTCATGAAACAGAGACACAGAAGACCATATAATCTGTATACACGAGAGAGACCACGTACTTACAGATACTAAATCCACTCAGTTCTCATTGTGTATGGCCATAAAATGAGGCATTGTTGCAGAGGAAATTAAATGCCTTGTTGGAACTGATTTGCCCCTGATGGAAAAATTTAGCACCACATGACAAAACATTTATTTTTAATTCTGAAAGATTTTTCAAAATCTCAAAGATTTTTTTATTACAAAAGTCTGAGAAATTGTTATAGTGTAATTGTATTATTTCCTGTTCATCTGATGCAAACAATGTAGATGGGTTTTTGATCAGGCAAGTACATTGTGCAAGAAAAAAAAAAGATTATGCTCTCAGTGTTCAATATTTTTGTACAAAGACTGTATTGTCACTTGGAAACCCTTTCAGAAGTACGAGGAGAAATCTGATAGCAAAAATAGCTGACCCCTCTCAATTCTCCCACCTCTTGAACTCCTACATCAGCTGCCAGTTCTGTTCCTCTAACTTCTCTCTCAAGCCATACAAGCCTGGCATCAGGATCCTCATCTGAGAACTGTAGGAGAGTCCCTGAGGGCTTCAGCACCTGTAAACATTGCTTCACTATCTGTCCAGCCTTAACTTGACCTTCTTTAGACCTAACTAAAGCATCTGTGGTACCCTTGTCTAATATCAAATCCAGGCTTCTGGCCACAAAGTATCCTCTCAAATGTGTGCAGTCCATCTCCAGGAAGGCAAGAGCAGAGGATGGATTGCATGGCTGTACCAATGTAGAATTACTGTGCTTTTGCATAAGTTTCACTGCAACTGAAGAGATATCAGCACAGATGACCTTCACAGCACATGGAGAGGTTCTGTAGATACAAGGTCCTAATGCGGATGTGCCACAACCCATGTCCAGGATGTTCAATGGGCCACTGTGGGAATGAGACATGGTCTGAAGTACAGGAAGAATGAAGTCCTTGACTGAGTGAAATCCAAAGAACCATTCAAAATTTTTGAATTGGCCTTTGCTTCCATTTTCTGTATAGAATCTGTCCCATGTTGCTTTTTTGTCCATGTTTTCAATCAGTTCATCTGTGAACACAAGTTGTAAATAGTTAGAATTTAGAACAAAAATACATATTATCCATACATACATATTATATGGTAATTTTGCTAAATCGCCCAGAGCAGTTAGCCCAGAGCAGTGTTAACGCATGAGGTTAATACATGTTAAATACAAGTATTTACAAGCATTTAACAGGTTAAGATGTAACCATTTTTAAATTGCTATTAGTTCCTATGGAAATGTCACATAATCATCAGTAATACACACTAACTTGTCAAACTAGTATGATGCCATCTGTGTGCCTTGGTCAGCTTTTGAAGGGTCCTCAGCGGCACTGCAAGTCTGGTAAATAACAACATTTTAAATACCCAGCTTAAGTAAAGGTATTCCGTTTAAAACAAAACACTGGCAGCATGTGTGACCTGGCTGTAACTGAATGACACGACCCGGAAGTGTACATGAGAGAGGAGGCGGTGGAAAAAGAACTCAATCAAGATGGCGGACGAGAAGCAGGTATCATCCCAGGGAGAGACCGAGGGTAAGTGCAGAAATAACATTCCGTCACGCAGTTGAAAAGATCAGCTGGCATGCGAAAGCAAAACATCTTGCAGGGTCCTGCATGAGGGAGCTTGCATTAGAGAATTAGGCTTTAACTGCTGTAAGAGCAGGAGGAGGAAATGCAGAGCATTAGTTGTACAAAGAGTCAACTCTGGGCTCATTTAACCAAAAATAAAACCCAATCTTCCTAACATGTCATATTTCCATTAAGACTCAAAGACTTAGATTTTACGCTCTCGGTTTAAATAGGATAGTAGCCTTGTTTGCCAATCAGCTGTAGACTGCAATATACACTAATCTTCACTCGGGTTTATGGAGGTAACGTTAAGTGGTGAATCTCTTTGTGTTGTAGTTGTGTGGTAACAGTTATGGGCGGTTATTATACTGAGTTAGATGATGGTTAGAGGACTCCTCACACACGACTTTGTTTACATTATGTCCGAATGTGACGTAAGTCAGACAGACACTAAACTGCAGCATTAGCAGTCATCACTCTCAACTGCTGTGTGCTCAGGTCCGTTTTTTTTTGTGTGGCAGGTGTCTAAAACATTTATGTATACATATATACTTATTTATTTTGCAGGAGTGAACTGCCTTGCATATGACGAAGCCATTATGGCACAGCAGGACCGTATTCAGCAAGAGGTGAGTGTTCAGAGTAATGTTATATTTAAAAAAAGGCTTGTAATTTGGATATATGCTAACTGTTACTGAACAAGTAGTCACTGATGATTTTGTGTTTTTGTCAAATTGTTAGCTGTTTTTTAATGATGAATAGAGTTGTACTTAAAGGATAGTTCAACAAAACATACCATTCTGTGATCATTTACCCTCTTCTCAAAGCTATTTTTCTTTCTTCTATGTAAGAGAAATGTTAGGCAGAATGTTTATGCTGTTCTTTAATTCCATACAATTAAAGAGCTGGGCTGTCACACTCCAAAAAAAAAACACACCCACGCAGAAAAAAAAAAAAGCTTAAAGTAGTCCACACAACTTGTGCACATTTTTCCAAGTCTTCAGAAGCCATACCATAGCTTTGAACAATCCAGAATTTAAAACTGAAGCATTTTAATTTCTGCCATTAATGTCACTGAACTGAATTGTCTGTTAACACCATGAACGATAACTATATCAATAACTATATTAACATCCACAACAACGAATGATAACATTCAGTTTATTCTAAGGAAGATGCAGTTATGTTGTCTGCCGCTTTAAATGCTATAAAGATAACTGTAACTATATTATCGTCCACACCAATGCATAGCGATGTTCTGTTTATTATAAGTGCATGCCGCAGTTATGTCATCTGCAGCTTTAAATTCTCAAGCTCTTTAAATATGGTGGATTCTGATTGGTTTTTATCATTTATGAGCTGAAAAAAAATAATTTTGAAAGTGATTCCAATGATATCATTCTTCTGTATCATTATAGTTGTGGTCTTGACTGTGCCATTCTCTTTTTAAAAGTTTATCATTGTTGTTATTGTTCTTGGTGTGAACAGCCCTTTAGACCTGGAATATTATATAGCACATAAGTCAGGTGGACTTTTTTTGAAGAGATCGACAGCATCTTTCCCTATTCACATTCATTGTATGGAAAAGAACAGAAACATTCTGCTTAACATCTCTCTTTGTGTGCAACTGAAGAAAGCAAGTCAAGCAGGTTTGGAACAATATGAGGATGACTAAATGAACTAACCCTCTAATTGCTTGTTTTGTTTTAATAGATAGCCACCACTAACCCTTTAGTGTCGGACAGACAAGATCTCTCTGTGCTTCAGGGTGAATATGCTGCAGAGGATGCCATTTACCAGCTCAAGATAAAGGTCACTACATTTTCACGAACTTACTTTACATGTAGCAAGTGCCTGAAACCTGCTGTAAAACTGTTATTCTTACATCTTGTTTATAGGACCTTCACAAAAAGTATTCGCACATTCGTAAGACACGGCCAGATGGAAATTGTTTCTACAGAGCTTTTGGCTTTGCACATTTGGAGTCACTACTGGACGACAGCAAAGAGCTGCAAAGGTAGTGTACTGTTTGATTTGGGTGCTTAAAGCAGATACCATTGATTTTATTTGGAGTAGTTGCAGTAATTCTGGAGATAGCAGCAACCTTATTTACACAAAGTACCATTTTGTAAATGTTTTTTCTTTCTGTCATTGTAGTGAATGTCTAAGTACCAGACCTGTCTCAATTTTGGCACTATAGGTTTAAAGCTGTGGCAGCTAAGAGCAAACTGGACCTTGTAAACCAGGGCTTCACCGAGTTCACTATCGAGGACTTTCACAACACGGTGAGTTGGAAAATGTATCAGTTAAAAACTATGCTCAAATGACATGCCATCTCAAATTTAAAGCTCAATGCTTCAAGGGTAAGTTCACAGATTTTTAACCAGCATTATGTTGTTACAATGTTGGTAGTATATAGCATTGGGTCCGAATCCGTCTTGTAGAGTTCAAGTCGAGTCCAAGTCCTTAACCAATGAGTTGAGTGGGAGACGTTTATTAATGTCTTGTCATTTTAATTTTATGATGTTACTTATTATTTGTTATCTTTCATGTAACACATGAAGTGGATTTGACTGTACTTAAAGTCCAAAATGTCCAAGTCCCTGTCAAGTTTGAGTACAAGTCCACCCGAGTGTTTATTTTTCACCAAAAGTCCACTGAAAGATGTAATGCGCTTTATCTGGCGACTTTTGACCGCTCCAGAGGTTTTGTGAAAACTAGAGATTGTACTTCCCTGTTTTTTTTGTATCCCTGCGCACGAATAGTCTGATCGAGCCCAGTGCATTATGGGTGTTTCAGTTTTTGTACTTTTTTTCACAACAGCCATTTATCTCTGTTTTTTCTACTTGTGTTTCTACTGCACCGACAGCCAACTTTTATCTTTTACTTTGTCTGCAGTGAATTACCGCTTTAAGTCCTGTAACTGTGCTTATGCTCACTGTGGTTTCTCTCCTTTGTCAGTTCATGGACCTGATTGAGCTGTGTGAAAAGCAGCAATCACTTGGTGAACTGCTAAGCTCCTTCAATGACCAGAGTGTGTCTGACTACATAGTGGTTTACCTGAGGCTTCTCACCTCGGGATACCTGCAGCGGGAGCATGTGTTCTTTCAGCACTTCATAGAGGGCGGCCGTTCTGTTAAAGAGTTTTGCCAGCAGGTGAGTGACACCTAGGAGTATTACTTGTGAACTATTTTTTTTTAAGACTATGGTAAAAATGTAGTTTAAAAATAAAGCAATATTAAATAATAAACTTTAACAGCTAATAATCCGTGTTTTACTTTTTAGGAGGTGGAACCCATGTCGAAAGAGAGCGACCACATCCATATCATTGCCTTAGCACAGGCACTGAACGTGTCCATATTAGTGGAATACATGGACAGAGGAGAGGGTGGAACGGTGAACAATCATGTCTTCCCTGAAGGAAGTGAGCCACGCATCTTCCTGCTCTACCGCCCAGGCCACTATGACATCTTGTATAAGTGATACTCTGTATATTCTGTGGTTCCATTGTGAAGAAACCATACCATTTCTACAGCCAAGTTGAGTCATACATGTGTATGCGAGGCTATGCTATGATTAAACACAAAGTTTTCACTCCAGTTCTCCCCACATTACAAAATTAATGATTTTTTCCCCCAGTACAGACAGAACTTAACAGCTCTTGATCTCAGAAAAACTGACACTGCATCAAACAGCAGCATTATTAGGGTTGTACAGTAGTTTTTTTTGTGGTTGTAAATGTTATCATCTTGCTTTCAGTGTTTTTCCTTTGTTACACTGCCTTTCATAAGTTTTATTAAAGGGATTTACTCCTCACTTGACCTGAAGTCAATTTGTGGTTTCAGAAATCATTGTGAATGTGACGACATCAAGGCACAGACTTTTACAATTCAGAAGTTGCTCGAAGCCAGTAACAAGAAAAGAACAGACAGCGCAATCACTTAAGTGCTAATTTTACATTTACCAAACAAATCACACCTTATGCAGACTGATGTTTATTTTAAGCAGATTTGGGTAAAAAAAAAATAAAAGAGTTACAAATCAATCATAATCATGTAGGACTCAAACCACTACACTACAAAGATGTGTCTGAAATCCATCTGGAGGCATCCTCCTCAGTCATGGCTGTTTTCTGTGGGAGTCGCACGCGTTGGACAGGATCCATCCAGCCGGACCAAGGACAGCAATCGAGATAAAGGCCATCACAAATACACTCTCCTAAAAGTGTAGGGGCAAGGATGCATGTGTGATTACACAATATTGCCAAATCAATCAATCATTCTAGATGCATTCAAGAAATGTCCAACTCGTGAACGAGTTTTGAGTCGGACCTTTTAAATGAATCGGTTGAGTAGGTTCACAAAACCGGATTCGTTCACTAAGCGGAATGAATCCAAACAGTCCGAATAACAGGTTTACGAAACGTACTGCAAAAGGCTTACGAAAATGTTTAATGTTTAATTGACATTTGAAATGTAAGTGCATTTTAGCAGTTAAAAGCATATCAGATTTAGGTTCTTCTATATTAGTTAATTCACGGCTGCATCAATCTGAACAGACACATTTCTAAAAACAAGCCTAATAAAACTTTATCTCACAAGAACGCAATAGCGGAAACCCGCATTATGAGCTTATAGCTTTGTTAGAATGTTTAGAACATTTGAACACGTGTAAATTATGCAATGATGTAAGAGAATTTAGTCGGCGGTTTTTTTAATACTTAAAAATCGTTCGAAAGAACCGATTCGTGGAAATCACTCGGCGTTTCCTTCTGTTGAACTTACCAAGACGCCGACTCTGCCTTTTGCAGAATTAGAGTTAATGTAGAAACGCTGGGTTAATACATTTTGTCTGGGTGTAAATCTTGTGCTTTTCAGTACTCGTACAAAGCAAAACATAATGTAGCCGATTGTAAGCCTGCACTGAGAATCAAAAACAATGCCTGCATGTTTTATTTACTTTTACGTTTCCCGCCAAGTAGTTTTAATAAGCTCACTTGGCACTTCCTTCTATCCAATCAACACCCTCGTTAATTATTAGTTACGTAACGTTTCGACAAGCTGAAGCTATTAATCTATTAAGTCACACCTCAAACATTAAAATGATTATTAATGTTAAAACATTATTAAAGTTTTTAGGTCACAATTAGTTGATAATGTATTTTTAAAAGTACAAATACTCTTTAGTCTCTGTTTGAGGTAAATTAGCTAAATGTTTTAATAGTTTCGGAATAAAACAGTCTCAAACAACATTATAAAAAAAATAATTAAAAAAAAACTTGTAAAAACAAATGCTTAACCCTAATAAGATATTGTTTTTAATTGTACATGTTATACAATGAATATTTTCAATCAAAAGAGGAAAATTATCAATAGACCAAGTATTTCCTTTCATCTTCAGCTCTATGCTGTTTAATATGTATGATACTACAAAAATGAACAAGAGTAGTTTATAGTTATTAAACTATAAATTTTATACAGAGTGAAGCAAAAAAAACCCCAGCAAAAATAAGCACAAAGGCACATTTACCTTTTTAATCTGCAATTTTGAAACCAAATGCATACATTCATTCATTCCTTGTTCCTGTACAACAAGCCCTTCAAATACAAATCAACTTCATCTCACTCTTCTTTGTCTCTCCTTATTCTTCATCTCAAGCTGGTTTTGCTATAAAAAAAAAAAAAGACAAGACTTTCAAGGCAGTAAATGGTCAACAAAGCAGCATTCTCCTTCCTTCTAAAGAAATGTCCAGTTTCTCACAAAGAAAAGGAATTCTAGTAGCAATTGCCTCAAAAGTTGCCATGTTATGAGATGATACATAAAGGTTAAACAGTGCATCTCAATTAACTAAAAACTCTTATTCAAAAAACATGTCAATATAAGAGGTTTGGTAAAGCAAGGCTGATCTTCTCAAGACATTTATGCATGTCATTTCTCAAAACAGGCATAGCACATTTATATTCTTATGTAGACATACATTTTATCTTTGGCAATAATAATTATCTGAGAAAAGTGTAGCAAGTATTATAAGGCATACTGAATATAAAAAGCAAGTATAAATGGCCCCTTTTGAAAACACTGCAATAATACGCCACAATGTTTCATTAAAGAAAAGTTCCAGTTATGACAGAATGAAACTTCTGTGACTTAAAGATGCACATCAGCATCCACTATGTACAGGTTTTTAATGTACATACAAATACTTAACAAATCAATACATTTTAAAAGGAACAATAACGTTTAACATGCCAAAGAACGGAATGAAATTGGAACGTGAGGCTGTAAATTATTAAAGCAATGTGACCTTGAAACCAGAATTCTCTAATTTACTGATTAATATATATATATATTGTGTGTATGAATATATACACACATAAATAAATAAATAGCAGTGCATGGACACTCCCCCTGCTGTATTCAATGAGAAGTATATGCACACGTGCGTTCTTTGGCGGTGTTAGATGTTAACTGAGTAAGCCCAAAATAACTTTACCGAACGGTTATTAGTGCAGCTGAAGTCCTAACAGACAACTTCAAGTAGTGATGTAGTGTTTTTGACTCGAACTGAACATCAGTTTGTTGTAGTTAGTTGTGCTTTTCTGTACTCAATTATCACATCAATGTAATGTCCATTCTTTAAAACATACTGCAGTTCAAGGTCTTTTCGGTCCATCTCAAATCCTGTTATACATACACTCATGCAGCACTTCTCAGTATTGCCCATACCCCATCCCGAACCCCAGCCCCAGGCTCTCTCGAAGTCCCCTGAGCTGCTCCTCTCCGAGCCTGATCTTGTCATCCAGTTGCCTCTGCTCTACCAGTAGGGCTGCTTTCATCTTCACAAAGTGACTGTAGTCACGCATCTGTTCTGGGGTCAGGCAACATTCCAGCACCTTGCCAACCGCCTGCTCACGCCGGTCCACGTGCTCCTTGAGCTCCTGAGCCTCTCCCATCTGCACCAGCAGCTGCTTCTTCTTTTCCAGAAGTTGTAGCTATAACATGACAGAAAGAGCGAGAGCGACAGAGAGAATAAGAATAAAATGCTAAGCAAATCAAACATGCAGAAGGATAAAAACTCGGGGTCTAATTTATTTGTGTAGTGCTTTTCACAATACACATTGTTTTAAAGCCGCTTTACAGAAAATTATGATGTTAATGTTTATAATATCTTCATGCCTTATAGTCAAATTTCACAGATTAGAGCTGGGCGGCAATACAGTTTACATTTTGCAACGATACAGGCAATCAAGCCGTTGAGATTTGCTATATTATATATATATATATATATATATATATATATATATAAATAAACTTTTGACAGGAAACGAGGCTGTGAAGGACAGAAGTACAGTGTGTTCAATTGATTGTACTGTTGTTCAATGACATCCTGATTGTTCAACTGATGAAAAGAAAAACTTTCAGTAGACATAACTCCATAAAACAGTTTATACAGTGCATGCCATTGTAAAGACAGTAAGTCTATCTCTCACAGCCTCGTTTTCATCTACGTTCAATTCAATATGCCATCTAACCTGACTAAGGTATATACTGTATGTATGCAGATGAAGTTGGATGTATTATATATCCAAATATTAATATATCGCTGGGCAATAATATAGATTACGTTTTGCGACTACATATATCCTCACCCTCCCGTGGTGGCCAGTCTCTGGGTCCACACAGTCCAAGGCACTTTCTACTCGGATCAGTCTCCCAGAAAGAGACAACAGCAGGCTGGTCACCTTGTCTAGGTCACCAATGAACATACGGTACTTGTCCACCTCGTTGGGCTTGCAGATAGCGAGCACCAGGCTCTCCACCTCCTCTCCCAGCTGAGTGTTGGCACGAATATCCTCTTGCAGGCCCCTCTGTGCCTCACGAAGGACACCCAGCTTTTTACGAAGGCTCTCCATCAGCTGCTTCTGTAAGTGTAAACATACCATTCAAAAGCTTGGGGTCAGTACGTTTTATTTACTTATTTTAAAAAATGTAATCCTTTAATCAAAAAAATTAAATCCTATTTAAAATAAATGCAGTTCTTTTCAACTTTCTATTCATCAAAGAATCATGACAAAAAGTATCGCGTTTCCACAAAAAAATTAACAAAAAAAAATGTTCCTTGAGCACCAAAACAGCATATTAGAATGATTTCTGAAAGGTCATGTGACACTGAAGACTGAAGTAACGGCTGCTGAAAATGCATATCATAGGAATAAATTACAAAGCATGAAATAAGCGAGCCATACATTTCTGAATCTTTCACCTTATAATTGAGCTCTTCCTCCTCCTCTTTCCTGTCTGAGATCTCTCGAATCCTGGCAAGAAGTTGTGGGTTGTCAGCTGACGTGTCATAACAGGTTGATCGTGAAACTTGTGCCATGGATATTCCCAGTCTAGAGGGCCTAGGAAAGAGTCATGAATAATTCAGAAGCAAAATAATGGAGGTGAAGGTGGAGGCGCTGTAACAGTCTTTCTGATATAACAGAATAGAATACACTGAAAATTCATGTACAATTTACTTTGAAACAATTTTCACTCAGAAAGTGCTAGTAAAAATGGCAAGTAATACATGAATTAAACATGAAAATTCGAAGCAGAAAGACTGAAATAGTATTAGATTGCCGTACCTCTCTAGCGTTCCTCCACTGATTGGGTGGCCTCCTCTCCAGCTCTCTCCACCCGTCTCTGTATTTACACTGTGTGGAAATAACTCTCCTATCAGCTCTTTCCTAGATAAACCATAATCATCCTCTAGAATGGAGTCCACCAAAGCATCCCTCGGCCCTCTAATGTTTCTCGCTGATGGAGCCCCTTTCTCAGGCATGTTGTCAATGTCTGTCTCCAGCACCATAACTGGTCGAGCAAAACCCTGCAGCTCCATCCTGTCCTCTCCTTCCCTCCTGTCAATTTCTCCTAACCGTTCATTCTCACAGATCTCATCTATGTCTGTCTCCAGGGGCTGGTTTCCATCTTCAATACTGCTGGGACTGCGGGAGGAAATAATCTTTTTGTGGGCTGTTCCAGGGAAGCCTGCTTGATGGGGCAGCAAGTGGGAGTTGTCCATGGAGAAGTAGGATTCTGGACACACGGGTGCAGATGACAAACTCTTCTCTGGGACTTCAAGAGGCCTGGTAGCGCCCAGTGCAGGGTAATGAGGACTGGACCGGTCCCACTCAGCTCGATGCTCAAAAAAGATGGGCTTCACCAGTGTGACTCTAGGCTCATCTGACACTGCAGCATTATGGACAGGTATTCTAAAATAGGGCAGACATGAGGGGAATTTATTCAAAAGCGCATTAAAAATGTAATTCATTCACTACCATTCAAAAGTTTAGGGTCAGTAAGTTGTTTATTTTTTTCAGTAAGAATGCATGAAATTGATCAAAACTAACAGTTTAAACAATTATAATGTTACAATTCTATTTAAAATAAGTGCTGTTCTTTTGAACGTTCTATTCATCAAAGAATCCTGAAAAAAATGTACAACCGTTTCCACAAAAACATTTAGCAGCACAACTATTTTCAACATTGGTAACATTTTGATAATTCAAAATTCAGTATGATACAAGTGTCTTGGTATCATAATGAAGAAAAAAAAAACTCTTAACTTTAGTAGTTTGCCATAATCTTGTATTATTATTTTTACTGATTATTAATATTCAAAAAACTTAAAGTATTCTGGTCCAATCAACAAGCAGAATAAAAACCAGGAAATAATTAATTATTTTTGTAAGAATACTTTTTACTTGGAAATATATTTAAAAACCTTTTTGTAAATTAATGATGGAAATGTGTTCTTTCATGTATTCAAACTGTAAAGATAACATGTTTTTACTTTTTATTTAATGGTTACACCCCATACATTTTTAGCAGTTGTTAAAGTTTTTTTGAAAATGGTTTATGAAATCAACACGAATACCATGAATAAGTCTTGTATGTCATGCGTGTGTTTTGGAAGGTATGTTTTACCTTGTGCATGGTTCAGGCTGCGGCAAAG